CCAACCCCACCGAAGAACTGTCTAAAGTCGTCGACTACGCTCGAAAACACAAGACAGAATTAATTGTTGGCTGCGATGCAAACGCCCATCACACAATCTGGGGCAGTACTGGTACCAACAAAAGAGGTGAGTTACTTTTAGATTTTCTCCTAGCTAACGATCTACAAATACTCAATAAAGGCTGTAATCCAACCTTCGCTACCAAAGCTAGGCAGGAAGTTCTGGATATTACCTTTGCTACTGAACAAATCGCTAAACACATAAGTAAATGGCATGTCAGTAATGAAAACTCTTTGTCCGATCACAAACATATTGTCTTTAGCATACAAGGCTCAATAACTACTGAGCCTAAAAGGCTTAGAAATCCCAAAGCCACCTCGTGGGTAGACTTCAAAAACCTGCTCGCTGAGGCAGCTAAGGATTTTCCAAAATCAATCAAGACACCCGACTCCCTTAACATTTTAAACAACTTATTAACGGATGGCATCTTAAATGCCTATGAAAATAGCTGTCCTGTCAGGGAACTCGGTTAACAACAATACTCCGTGGTGGAACAAAAAGCTAGAACGACTTAGAGTTTCCACACGTCGCTTATTTAATCAGGCCACTACACCGTATGGGTGGGAACGGTATAAGAAGGCTCTGACTAAATACCACAAAGAGATCAGAAAAGCTAAAAGAGCATCTGGAAACGATTCTGTGAGAATTGCCAAGACACCAAACATCTTTCTCGGCTTTTTAAAAAAGCGAGACGATTCCTACAGAAGGATCGTACCCTGTCACCGGCAGTGAATCAACAGGGCATGGAACTCCTTATCCCGCATCTGGTAAAATTATTTAGAGCAAGCTCTCAGCCCAAATCCTTTAGGTCGACAAGGCAGAAAGGTCCCTAGAGGATAAGTCACTGCAATCGCCAAGCACTTCAAGAGTGGCAATCCACTTCTGGACAAAAACACTCTAAAGCGCTAATTAAGGGATATGGCAGAAAGTTTACAAAAGAGATGCTTCAACTCAACAAGTATAAAACCAGTGCAGTAACCATCACATGTTTACCCTCGGCCTCAGTCAGACCGCAATGTGCAGACTATGCCATGAGACAGAGGAAACTGCTATGCACATCCTCTGCTCGTGCGGTCCACTCATGCACCGCAGAAGTATCTACCTAGGGCAGCATATTATGCAACCGGAAGAGATACAGATGCTCCCCGCTCAGAAAATCTGGAAGTTCCTGGAGTCAACAGGACTAAGCGGAGAACTTTGAACTCACTATAAAGGGAGCTACAATGGACCAAAACTGGTCGACGTAGCTAGGGCCGACCTCGGCACCACACCCAACACAATAATAAATAAAAAATAAATAAATCACTTCGCTGGGGTTCATCCCTAGGCTGATTCCCCATAAAAATTTTCATCCCCATTTTCACCCCCTTTAAGGGCTGATTTTCGAGATAAAAATTATCCTATGTCCTTCCCCGGGTCACAAACTATGTTCTTAATAAATTTCATCTAAATCGGCTCAGTAGCACCAGAAATTACCCCCTACAACGTCTCAAACAACACTACAAAGTCTACAAACTCACAATTCACAAACTTTAAATCTTTATAATATTAGTATGGATGTTTTTCATAAAAGTATATAAGCCGGAAAGACATTATCTCGGTATGTTATTTATCTCCGTATATAAATTATATATAAACAATGTCAAAGAGAAAAAAATACTGTAATATCGTCTATGATAAAATATATCAAGACTCTAGATTACACGTCGGTGTAAGACTCAGCCACTAAGTGCATGCAGGAAACGCGCCTTCAAACACAATTTGCGCCGTTACAGCTTTCATACCGACCCCGTTTCAGCGATTACATTCTACGTATGAAGTCATACATGCACTATTATATCATATGACAGCTTGCGCCTCACGTAAAACTAATATCTTACTAATATTACATACATAATATATGTGTACATACATGAGACCGGTCAAGTGCGAGTCGAAATGACACACAAAGAGTTCCGTACCTTTGTACAAGATTTAACACTGTTACTAATCGATTTTTTTAAATTGCATGGCGGCCATTTTGAGATTCGCCATATTGGTTTTTTATATGTTGCTATACCTATTACAGTTCATAGTATTAATATATAGTATTAGTAGAAGTGTTATATAGTACAGCGCGCTGACAGACAGATGGTCGGACAGCGGAGGCCCTTTATTAGAGTCCCGTTGACACCCTTCGGGTACGGAACCCTAAAAATTATGTAAAATATTGAAGATATATTAGCCTTGTTACTGTCACATCGATTTGAAACAGTAAGTTATGTTATTTGGAAAATATAATAATTTGGTACACCTTTATTCGCGAAGTCATTCCCCCCTCCCCCCCAAACCCCTACCCCGCAACTTCGTTGTAGATAAAGCTAGAAGCCCGAATTTTCATTGACTAAGAGGACATACATAATATAACTAGGTAAAAGTTCTGTATTTCGTCACTCCTAGTAGACACACGAGCTTTGGTACTTCTAGCAGACACACGAGTTTCAAATTTTGAAACACAAGAAATAATACCAGAAAAAAAAGAAAACTATTTACAAAAAGAAACGAGATCCCATAAAAAAACACCATGTAAAACAATGCAAGTCACGCAATGCAGTTCTTCTACCGAAAAAGTTTTGATATGTAATGTAAAACAAAGTCTAAGAATAAATTTACCATTCAGTATATACCTACTCGTACTTACATATGTAAGCTTTGTGTCGCAAATTGTTACCTAATTAGTTAAAAAACAACATTTTATAAAGATCGTATCAATATTAGAATCTTTATTTCTTTAATAAATACATAGAATGACTTAACGTAATCGTTAACGAATTTAGTCTATAGGTAAATTATCATAAACGTTTTATCAAACTGCTGTATTCAACGTCGATTGGTATTTCTGTTTTCATACGATTTGTAAACAGCAAATTTTTATTTTTGTATCGCAAATGAGTTTGCGCGTGGTATTGTAAAACGAGACATGTTGATTCGAATACTGATAAATGGACAGAATTAATGCTCAAAAGCTACATAAACTGTCATCTCCCGTATGGTCTAGTGGCTAGGATACCTGGCTTTCACCCAGGAGGCTCGGGTTCGATTCCCGGTACGGGAATAACCTTTTTTATAATTAATTATTATATATGTACAATGTACATACATATTTTTAATATGTTTTCAGTAGTAGCTTGTATGTAGAAAACCAATTTGTGTACATTAAGCAAAGCAAATAGTTAAGTCTGTATATAAATATAGATAATCGATTTTTATTCAATTCTATCAGTTTGACATTTTGATGACACTAAAATAACTACTATAGTAGCTTCAAGCTTAATTGATCATGGAACCAGGATGTGAATTGTAGAACTCTTCAATGGCTAGTAGCCTCTCTTTAGGTGTCATTTGTTTTGAAAAGTCTCTTAAGTTAGTAACATTATAAAATAAGACTATTAGAAAAAAATGGCAATAATAATTTATAATTCCCGTACCGGTAATCGAACCCGAGCCTCCTGGGTGAAAGCCAGGTATCCTAGCCACTAGACCATACTATACGGGAGATGACATTATTCACAACATATCCCTTCTTTATTTATTTAACTAAAATAACGGCATATTTTCGTCTACAATTTACTAAAAAATAAAATATTATCACTTCCTTTTCATCTGTCAACCCTCATAACCCCTTGTGTAACTGTATAATATTAACACATTCTTTTCTCAGTTTTTAAGTTTTTACTAAATATAGTCGCTAATTATAGTTTCATTCAGCCTACAGATTGATTAAAACGAGTTAACTTATGAAACTCTGTGGATCAAAGTTAAGTCAAACGTACACTATTGAATAACAATCAGCTAGTTATAGAGGAAATAATCATGGGATGAATTATAGATGGGCATTAACTACAGGGCAAAAGCCCAACTTTTAGGTTAAAAAGGATTCTGAACTTTATAAAAAAAGAAACATTACACACACAATACATTCCTTTCAGTTGTATCAAAAACTGTGACAAACGGACAGACGAAATTTAAGTGTTCCATTTTTACCTTGTGTTCCATTGTTACCATTTTTGTCTTGAAAATAAATGGAAAAAATATTTGTCGCGATAAAAATATTGATTTTCTTAATATCATAAGTATTATATGGTTTTGGAAAAAACTGACAACTATTTCTTTAATGTATCCGAGTATTCATAGCCAAAAACTAGACAACCATAGAGAAGTAGCTCGAAGCATCCACTCTCCCGTTATACCGATTTAGCGATCATGTCTCCCGATTTTTTGCATTTTCAACGAATGTAAAATAATATTATTAAATAAAATTGGGAAATAAGCTTATAGAATTGTAAACAATAGCAATGGCTGGGACCAGGTGGATATCCACTTATTTTTTAATTAACAACGATTATAAAATGGCAACAAATAACAATTAAGAACAACTAATTAATAAAATCAAAGCTAATGCGTTTCTTAACAAGCTATCAATAATAAATTTTCAGAAAGTCGAACTGTCATTGTCAGTTAGGTATAAACTTATTATTATTATGTTAACATCGTTAAATAGATAAAATGAATAAACATTATGTATACAATCGTATTTATTGCTGTGCAGTCGCAGTTGACTCTAAAATTTTGTAAGGTTCTCAACTTCATCACATTTCAAAAACAGTTTTTTACCATATTACAATTTACAATACCATAATTTTACATTATAATTTAAATCATAAACTGTTCTCAAGTGCATAAATGAATATTTAAAATTTAATAATGAACAGCAGCTTAATGCATAAATATTTAATTACCTATTAAAATTAGTTTAAATTATAAAGACATTATTTTATAAATTGAAACGAGAAAGAAAGACAACTAAAAGTATCTGTTTCATAATATGTTTCCCTTTAACTTTAAAACTACCTAAGCCGATGAAGTATAAATAATAATCTCCCGATTTCTGCCGATTTTAGATGGCAAGTATAACGATTTTCAATTTTTTATTTTTTACTCTTGCAACACTGAGTGCCACTGTCCACAGTTCAAAAAAATTATTAAAAAAAGTTAAATCGTCACATCAGAAGTGTGCTACTTTCTCAAGATCGTCTTTAACAAATTATTTCATCGTAAGTAATTTATATTTTTAGGTAACTATAGTTTATAAAGAATATCACATAGGATATCGCTAAATTAGAAACTTCTAGACTTACAAAAAACTTTCAAATATAGGTTATGTTAATTTTTATCATAATTGTTTTTATAATTAATTGATAAATGATGCATTCGTTCAGACCGACGTATATAAAGTGATTTACGCCGTTTAAAGCCGGATGCAAGAATAGTATGACTATGTTTTCAATTAACGATTACAAATCCACGATGAAAATATATCAGACAATTAAAAAATAATGAAAAGCACTTGTCTCGTGTCTCGCTATAAGTTTTTAGTAAGTTTTAGTTGTTTTTCTATTTCTGAGTGTATTTTACATATTTCAACATAGTTTCTATGACAAAAAAATTATTACCTTTTGCATTGTATATTATAGTAATAGACTTAAGTACATGTTTTTTATATTAGATGACCGGTCGTGATGGGGGAAAGAAAAAGCCACTGAAGGCACCAAAAAAACCATCCAGAGAGCTTGATGACGACGATTTAGCTCTAAAACAAAAGTTAAAAGAACAACAGAAAGCATTAGAAGTAAGTATACAAAGCCTTAGTTATTTTTAGTGTGGAACCTTTCCTGTTTCCACAATAAAACTTGATATAAAATGTAAGAAAGGTCTTGAATTGTGTGGCCTCCAGCTTTATCTGGTTCTTTAATATTCATGTTTAATTTCATAAAGCTCTGTTAGCAGTTATTAGAGGGTCATCATCCATACTGATATTATAAATGTGTAGGTGTGTTTGTTTGTCCTTCTTTCACATTGAAACGGAGTGACGGATTGGCGTGTTTTTTTTTTTGTGGAGATAGAGGGCTAGGATACTTTTTATCGCATGGGATTATCTCATTCCTATGGAAAAACACGTTATAATACAACCCAAAAAAATATTTATGAACAGAATTACTTGAAAGTTGGTATTAATGCTCTTCAATACAATTAAATTAATATGTGTTTTAGCATTTTTCGAAATTCATCCCATAAGGGGGTAAAATAGAGACTAGAGAGAAGAAGTTTGTATGAAATCTATACCTTTTTAGTTCTTTTTGTAGTTCTAGTGCGAGCTAAGCCGCAGGTTTTGTTAGTTATTTATAAATGTCTCATAACTTAGTTTAGGGTGGAGTTTAGTATTTAATTATACAAAATTTCATCATAAAACTTCTCTGCTATATTACATATGTTTGTTATTTACATGTTTGTTTTATGTTTTTATTTTCAGGAAGCAAAAGCAAAAGCTTCACAGAAGGGGCCGCTTGTGAGTGGTGGCATAAAAAAATCAGGCAAAAAGTGACAGATTTCCATAATGTATTCTTATTTTAGGATAAATTTATTGTTAAGCAAACTGGGGAACTTTTTTTATTAATTTATTTTGGCTCTACAGTTAATTATCTTTGCTTTTGAGAAAATAATGATACTTTATGGTGCATAAGATTAACGAGTTCAACTGCACTGCCAAATTAGTGCCTGTTCCAATGGACATTTTGCATTTTAACACTTATATGTAACACTAAATAAACGTGTCAAAGTTACTATACAGTTGGTTTTATTTTGAATACTAGCAGCCTAATAATAATGAAATTTACATTCATACAATAATATAAAAATCCATACACAATAAAAAAAAATGGTCTTAATAAATTGTGAAAAACAACTGATTGGTACTTTTCATTTACTAAAGGTATCTAATATTTTCGAAGTCGGTGTGCTTTAATTTGTATCGGTTGGCACCGTTTTTATAAAACAAATGCAGCCGAATTGAGAACCTTCTTTTTAAGTCTCTTGAAAACACAAATTATGGTACATATTATATTCAAAACATTTTACATTATAATGAAAATCTTGCTGCGAGATGTATACTCGTATGTATGTCTCAGACTGCATAATACTGTATTCCTTCGTGAACTTGTTTTCATATTTTTAATTAGCATTTATTTAGTCAGGTTTTTCATTTTTATAATAATTTATTTATTTACAGCTTTTTAAGTAGGAAAATTAGCGAGAATAGTTGTTAACCAACTTTAAACCATTATATAAATTATAACCTAAACCATAAATTTAAATATATAATACAGGGATGTTATATCTTTTTGGAATCCTTGTTATGAGCTCTTAATTTGATTACCAATTTGCAGAAAAAGAAGATAAATTAAAATTTCACCTTGAACAATGAAATCTAGCAGCTCCCATATTTAATTTTTTTTTGTCACCTATCTAAAAATATTGGGACTAATGAGACGAATCTAACGATATCTTAATTAAAGAAACCCATTCGAGTGTTTGGAAGATATGAGGGAATAAGGAATATTACAAACAAACATACAAAGATAGGCGCGAAAAACATAACCCTTTCCTTGCAGTCGGGTAAAATAATAACAAATAAATGAAAACTCAAGTTATGGTATACATTATATTAAAAACATTTTTCCATTATAATGTCCCCAAACTTCGATTTTGTCATTTGTAATTCTCTTACTTAGTATTTTCGTAAAAGTAAAACACCTAATCTTTATTATCCAAACATGTGGATATGTGGATAAATAAAATTGAATTGTCTGCTTGTAATGTCGAAATAACAGCTTTTTACTAAATATATATGAAATTATATAGGGTACCTACTTATAACAAAAACAGTATTTTTTAAAATTTTGTCTGTGCTCCGGCTATTCTCCAAAACGGTTGGACTGATTTGACAAACAAAAATTTGAAAAACAATTAGGTTTCATTCTGATCTGATCTTTGGTATTTTGATCCATTTGTAATTCTACTAAACGGCTTGACAGATTTTGATGAAATGTTTCTTCCAAATTCATGTTTTTACGCGTATGGAAGGCGTACGCGTCTAGAACGCCACATAGGGTCCTATGTAGCGTTCTAGTTAACTATATACAGACTGATAAACACATTACCCTCCTTTGCGCAGTCGGGTAAAAAGGCATTGACATAAACAATTAAAATGAAGACATTAGTAAAAAACATTCTTGCGTGAAAAATAAAACCAATTTGATTTAAAAAAAAGTTTATTAAGAACTTTATATTAAATATTTACAACACTTAATAAAATACAGTCGAAGACGTATATGTAGTTTGTTATGTACTTTTAGTAATAAAACTAAACAATAAAAACAGAAGTTTGTCCTTAGTGTTGCTGCATACAAAAACTACTCAAAAGTAATTTAATGTAATAATTAAAGTAGGTATTAAAAATGTCAATATATTATATAACTAACTATATCTAACTTTAATAAATCAATAAAACCGCATTTCAAGATGCGTTTATGCAAAATAAACCAAAAACAATCTAATAAAACGTTTAATTTTCTATTAAAAATTCTTTAACTAAATGTTGCATAAGCACATCCAAGAAAAAAGACAAAAATAACGTCATAATACCGTAACGACATAAAGTAGTTAAAAAGATATAAATGAAGACTAAAATTAATTTACAATAAAATTTTCTTTTAACACTAAAACAATGTATCATTTATAATGGGTTCGATTCCCGGCGTAATTTTGAGCGTAATAAATGTATGACATTACTGATTTAAAAAAAAATCTACATTCGGCGTAAAACCTTAAAAACAATAAGATGGAAAAAATATTTACTATTTTTTTTTACTTTTTAATTTTACATGTAACTTTATTTTGAAATGATTTTTCTAGACGTAGTGTGTTGAAAATTAAAAATAATTATAAAATAAGCACAAGATATTACTATTCTTTGCTTCTGTAAGAATTTAAAATATTATTCATTTATAAAATAACAACTACTTTTGCGTTAAGGCTGTGATTTAGTCCATTTCGTATTTAAAAAAAAATCTAAATTAACATGTCGATCAATATATTAAAAAAATCTATTTGAATGAAAAGAAAAACGTCCATCTTAATGTAATTTTTTGTTTTTATTTTTAATTTTGTCCATAATTAAATGTTTTTGTCAAATGTTGAAATGCTCCTGCAATGTAAACAATAGATTTCCATCTTAACAAGATAAAAAAAAATCAAAATATCCTAAGTAATGTTTAATTAATTAACATATTCATGCATGTTTGTTTCGTTACTTTACACATGATTTTGACAGTTTACTTTTTTTATATTAAGCTGTCGGCGCCATTTTATTTTTTTATTTTATTTATGGAAGTATAAATATTTACTAAGATATTTTATAATATCAGAAAAAAAACTAAAACATACATAATAATAATTACTTTTAACATAAAAAGCTGTAATATGAAATTATAGCAAAATATCCAAGCCGTTTAGCGTTAGGAGCTTAATATGAATGAATAAAATACACAAAAAAAAAAAGAAACACTTGTAATTTCATTAGAAAGTTTCATTAACATGCGTATAGATTAAAAAGTCAAACTTATTACTTTACATGTGATACAATGTTCAATATTTAGGGTTAATTTTTCAATCATCAGACAGCAGTTATCTATTTAATAAAACATAACCTAAAAAAATTAAAAAAATAAAATAAAAAATACGTTTCTATGAACATTATAATAATTCCACCCTACATTCTTATGCTGGATATTAAGACTGCTGGGTGTGGGTTTCCCTTCAATACGATATTACATAATATGTGCCATAGTCCACTATGATGGCCAAGTGTCTTTAGAAAACTTGCTAGGTACTCACACATGCGGGTTTCCACACGATGTTCTCCTTCACCGTAAGACAAGTGGCAATCATGTTGGAAATGATTCGCACATGAAAATATCAGAGGTTCGAGACCCGGGATTTGAACCCGCTTCACTCGGTCTCCCAAGCGAGCGCGTTACCACAGGGCTACCACTGCCTTTATGCTGGACATTCTCATTTGTAAGGTGAGGAAAATTAAGACCAATACCCACCACATTATAAAATATGGATTGGCGGACTTCACATGTCCTTCCATAGCTACTTAGGTTCAGACATATAGGTTTTCTTAAAATATTTCTTCACTGTTAGGCAAGTGGTGATTATGTTAAAAATAATTGCATGTCCCGGGTTTGAACCCACGTACCTTAGTTTCTGTTCTATTTATTCATCTACAAATTATTTAACATATATTTTGATAATTGAAAAGTGAGCCGTTAAAAGAAACAATATATTTATTAGGGTGGCCGCAAAAAAACCTATAATTTTTTTCGTGTCTCGTATGAAAATATGTTAGTTTTCCATGTTTAAGTCCTCTAAAATTCAAAAAAAATAATATTTTTTAGGGGTCGCTCGCGTAATATTTTTAAAAAATTCTAAAAATGATTAAATTTATTTCTTTTTTTTATTTCTTTTTTCACTGCGGTAAAATGTAGTACCTGATTTTTTTTTAAGGTTATTGCTTTTATAATATTCTATATAACAGTTATTGTGGTAGTGTAATTATATTTTTATTGACTCGTTAATAAGAATTAAGAAGCATATAACTGTTTTTGTATGCTTCTTAGCTAATTTTTTAAAACCTTGAGCGATCACTAAAACAATTTTTTTCGACCGGCCGCATATTATAAGTTTTTTTCTGTCAGAAACATTCTGACGTCACTCTGCTCGTGTTTTGGTGTAGACCCCGCGTACTGTCAGAATTCTGACGACGACTGACGTCCGCTTCTGATGAGTCACGGACGCCACGAAACCGACATCAGGATTTCTTCTGATCAGAACGTCGGAGGATGCGTATTTATAAAATTTAGATAAAAATTGACTTTATTGCGTTTAAAAATTTTAAAATATATAGAAAAATTACATTATAACTTTCGAGTGATAGTAAAAAAAATGTTTTATAAGAAAACACTATCGATTGTGCATATTACGAGACTTCCGCGATAAACAATAGCATTCCCAAGGAGGGTTGACGTCAGGCAGGCGTGAGGCGGCCGGTCGTAAAACTTTTGTCAAATCCTATCAGCAGTACAGAAGATGTACTGCAAAGACCCCAAGGGATTGGGAAATGGGAAGGGAGATGATGATAATGATGACCGTAATACATTATAGTGTTCATACAATAATGTATGGAAGTCTGCCTGATTTGTTGATATTTATGATTACTGCTCCGCTCCCTTGAGTAGTAGCATGATGATATGTTAGATATTGAGGAAGTTTATAACACATTTTGCACTAGACCCAGCACTTATCAGAAATTCGTGTCAGTTGTCGAGCGGACGTATTGACTAAACTCATTGTCATACTCGCTGGAGCGAAGTTTCTGATGGGTGGGTGATTTCTGACGGCGGGCATCAGAAACTTTCTGATAGAAAAAATCTTATAATACTCGACCAGCCTAAAAGAGGATTTTTAAAACATGTAAAACTAACATATTATCACACGAAAACAAAACGGTGTTTTCCACACCACCCCAATATTTACTCTAAATATCCACCATATTTAATAAAACCTATAAAATATAATAACCGTCAACAATATCGGACTGTGTGTATATTTTAAGTTAATTTGGACTTTCTTTTAGTTGGTGACCGTGGAGGGGGCTCAGTCTTCTTGCTCTGGAAAAGAAAATACACATTGTAAGTGATTTTTTTCATTTGACGACACGTTTGGCTCAGTTTGTAGTGACCCTACTTGGTGTGCCAGCGGTCGCGGGATCCTGGAGTAATTGGAGTGGCAAGAGTAATAAATAAATATGATGGGACATTAACACACAGCACCATCTAGTTCTATTGTAAGCTACGAGGCTTGAGTTATGGATACCAGATAGTTAATACACGACACATATATAACTTTAAAATACATACATATTATAAATATAAACACCCATAACTGGAGTACAAACAATCGTGCTCATCACACAAATGAATGCCCCAAGTGGGACTCGAACCCGCGACCGCTGGGAAAGTAATAGAATAATATTCCCACACAAGCAAAATAGGCGCAAAATCTTCGAGTTGCGGATACCAGCTCGAATATGACATACCATACCATAGTGAATTACTCTTCAGTGGGTGTATATATATATATATATATATTAGGGTGTGCCAAAAAATGACGATATTTTTTTTTCTTCGCTCTCACCCCAAAATATCTTAGAAAATGTCCCAACAAAGCTCCTTTTAAAAGCGGAACTCAAAATTCTAATTCTAAGAGGTTCTCCATCGAACTTTAAGTTTTGCCACACAAATTGTATGGAAAATATGATTTTTAACATTTTATGTCCTGCAAAGTATGACGAAAATATTTTTCAAAAAAATGAATGAATGGACCGTTTTTACTATTAAATTTACTACAAAAAGTTCCATTGAGTCGAATTTGTATCTTCAATATTTTATTTGTTATATAGCTTTAAAGTTCAAATTTATGGTTCTTTGCATTTTTTAGCTAAACTGTAAGAGTTACAGAAAAATGTTAAATGGCAAATTTGTAGTACGTTTAAAATCCTATAAAAAATCCTGGTAACTTTTTCATATCATCAATAACAACGAAGTTACAGGCTCACGAATATTTATTTTTTAAAATTTTTGCTCTTACGAACTGAACTGAAATACGATAATTTTATTACTGATATTTTATGTTCTTTATCAATATATTTTATAATATACTTGAAAAATCATTAAAATATGTCAAATAAGTCTGTCACTATTCACTATTGATAATACAAAATATTATTATCGATATAGAAAATTGAAATTTCACACGCGTATTCCTCTTATGACGAAGGCATTCACTAAGGAAGGATTTTTCAACATTCAACCCCCAAGGGGGTGAAATTGTGGATAAAAGTTTGTATGAAACTTTTTATTCCTTGGGCATATTTGCACGTATGAATTGAGTACGGCAAAAATAATGAGTTACGTGTGTCGTTTTCTAAAATTCAACCCCTAAGAGGGTAAAATAGGGAATGAAAGTTTGTATGAAGCCCACTTTTTAGGGGTTTTTTTGCAGTTTTAGCGTGAGCGAAGCCGCGGGTTCTGCTAGTTTAAGAATAAAACACTACAGCTGTCATCGTTTTCAAGCTCGGCCCTTTTGTTTATACTTTTACCTATTTTAGCTCAATTTACCATAATCCTATACTAGTTTTCATTAAATTTAATGTAAAAGTTAGAAGTAGGTTTTTCAAATTGAACGATTTGTTTATACAAAGTTGCTAATACAAGCCTGTAAATTTTTTTTGACATATATGACATGGCGCCAAAACTCGACCATTTTAATTTTTATAATTTTTATATAACCAGTGTCACTCTCACAATTAAGACGAATCTAACGACACCTCTCAAGATAAAGTCTATCAAACCGTTTAAGCTAGAGAGCGCGCCAAAGATATATACACACATACATACATTCGTACATACATGAATATACACACATATTATATATATATATATATATATATACATACACTCGAAAAACACAACTCTCCTTCTAACGCAGTATAGGCATAAATAAAAATATAAGTTTCAAATAAAAATTAACTCACATCTCTAGATCGCTTCGCTCTAGGTTCATCTTCACTTTTCTCTTTTTCCTTCTCTTCTTCTTTCTTTTTATCTTTATTATCATTTTTATCTGCGCCTTTATCTTTATCTGTACTCTTATCTTTTTCTATACTTTTATCTTTCTCTGTGTTTTTCTCTTCTTTCAATCCTTTTTCTACATCTTTTGAATCAATTTTCCCTTCACTGTTTTCTTCAGCTTCAGTATTATTATGTTCGTCACGTTCCTTTTTGGGTGATTTTTCTTTGTCCTTATCTTCTATATCTTTACCTTTAGTTTCTTTCTGTTTCTTACCTTCAATATCTTTGTATTTCTCATCTGTGCTGTTATCTTCTTTTTCTTTTGATTTGACCTCGTACTTTTTTTCTAAATTATCATTCTCTTCTGTTTGTTCTTTCTCTTCTTGTTGTTTTCTAGAAGATTGACGTTTTAGTGCAGGTTTCGATGGGGTGTTGTTAGATTTCTTTGATTTTGCTGAAATAATGGTAACAAACACTAAATAAATACTTATAATAAATCTATTACATTTTTTACTTATAGATTATAAAAACTAATATGTATAATTATTTTCGAAAATGAAAAATGAAAAACGCGATTAAATAAACTGTGAAGGACAACTATATTTAAAAAAAGACCTTAAACCTTCGAAATAAATAAAACAAGCTTTTACTCGAAAAGTCTATATAAGGTCGATTCGAATCAAAATTTTACATACTAAGAAACTTTAAAACCCTCATCTATCTAAATATATATGATTCTTCTGTACGTGTGTTTGTTAACCTCCTAAAAGGAACAATTGGACCCAGTAGGTGGCGCTGCAGTCGTTGTGCCACTGATCATCTCCTAAACGGTAAGGACGATTTTAATGATATTTTTTATGCATATTCGACTGGGTCCTAAATTGTTTGTAGTGGGTATTTAAATTGTTGATTAAATAAAATATTTTGATGAAATTATCAAGTAATCTTCAGATTAGCCCAGCGGGTGATCCTATGAATTTTGTTAGCGATCGGAAGTTTGGACGCGAACGAAGCCGCGGGTATTGCTAGTTATGTATATAAAACAAAGTCGGTTTTGTTACAACAACAAGTGAGACTAAAAAGAGCGTGTTAAAAATCAACTTTAGCATCTAGTCAAGTCAATGGTAGCCCAGTGGTAACGCGCTCGTTTAAGAAAGCGATTGAAGCGGGTTCAAATTCAGGGTCTCGCACCACTGATATTGTCATGTGTGAATTATTTCCAATATGATCACCACGATTGTCCATTGCCTTACGGTGAAGGAAAACATCGTGAGGAAACTTGCACGTCTGACAGAAGATGTCTAGCGAGTGTGCAAGACATGCTCAGTCCCGCCCGCACTTGTCCAGCGTGGTGGACTATGGCCTAATCCCCATCATATTGAAGGGATGCCCAGCAGTGGGATGTCAAAAAAAGGACGAAATAGATACAGTATAGAAAAATTATGATATTTTTAGATTTACCCGGTGTACTTGTCTTCATTTTAACAAACTCTTCTTCTTGATTCATTTCTTCGCTACTCGGTTCGAACGGTGATTTTATTGTATGCAATGTTGGTTGCGTCATTTCTGTTTGGGAAAAGAATATTTTTTAATAAACGTGTACATATATTGAACTAGCGGTTCATCCTCGCTTCGCTCAGGTTCCCTCTGGGAAAACAAAAACAAATTTATCCCACGGGAACCGTATATTTTTCCGGGATATAAAATAGCCTATATGTTATTCCCGACTATCTATCTGTCTCTGTGCCAAATTTCATACAGATCCGTTCTGGCGTGAAAGAGTAACAAACATACATACTCACAAACTTTTAAATTTATAATATTAATACGGATTACTACATACTTTTAACTTTTTTGAGCCGAACCCTAATTCTTCCTCTAAAATAAAAGTAGCCTAGGTTACTCCTTATAACATCAACCGTCCAGTGAAAATCCCGTCAAAATCAGTCCAGCCGTTTAGTAGATTAGCCTGATCAAACAGATGTGCGTGTGATTTTTTCCATACAATAAGTATAGCATATACTTTCATATGCAATTAGTAAAAAGTTATTATTTTGACATTACAAACAGACACTTCAATTGTATTTCTTATTCTTAACTTAGGCGTAGCCTGTGTCATATACCAGGTCACAATTACCAGGTCATATCACAGGTATATCTGTGTATTAACTTTCATCCAAACAAGTCCAGCCATTTCACCGTGAAGGAGTAACAAACCAAAAACATACATACCAGTGGAGGGGGTGAAATTTTAGCAGAGGTAAGCCGTTCCAAAAATATACAATTTTAATATTCATATGAATACAGAAAGAAATAAAGCTATTATTATATACATATATATTTCCATAAGAACATTTATGCATTTAAAACATTAAATGTATGTACAATTGTAGCAAAATAATTTTAAGGTAAGACGTCTTCTAATGGACCCTTCGCCGATGATACATATATACATACACACAAACAAACATACGCATTTATAACATTAGCAACATTCACCTAGAGGCTCGTGCACCAATTCCAATAGCTCATCCGATGTCAGATGGGCGGTCACTAACTTGAATAGCCCAACTTTCTCTGTGAAGAACTCCCAGAAGGACATTCCATCTGGCGTCATGAACAGGTCCTGGGTAGGAAAAAAAATAATATTTTAACTAAAAAAGATACAATAATTTTAATAAAAATTAGTTATAATTAATATTCTTATACCTTAAGCGATGGAAGTGTTATATTAAAAACGTTTAAGGTTTAAATTAAAAAAATTAAGGTTAGTATAGATTTCTCACAGACGAGATATTTATTCCGCAGTAAAAAGTATCCTATATGTTGATCCGGATACCCAGCTACTATCATACCAAATTTCATCAAAATCTGTCTAGTGGTTTTCTCGTGATGCCGCCACAGACAGACAGATAGACAAAAATTCTAAAAATTATACATTCGCCCTCTCTATCGATAATAAAGACTATTACAATAAGATTTTCCAAAAAATATTTAATGTACAGTGTCGACTCAGTTAGAATTTTATTATTGGACTAGCGACTCTTCGGTTCGCTCGAATTCGTCTCTAGTTTGCTTCCCAATACCAATTTTCACTTAAATTTTCTCTTAAGTGATGATCCGGGATGAAAACTATCCTATGTCCCGCAAATTTCGTGTAAATCGGTTCAGTAGATCCAGAGATTACCCCCTACAACGTCACAACTTTTACTTCTTAATAATAATACTCGTAGTCTATACATATAATAAAATTCTGAGTCGAATCTGTACATGAAATATTTTTTGAAAAATTTTAATGAAATAAACATTATTATCGATACAGAGGCCGAATATATATTTTTTAGAATTTTTGTCTGTCTGTCTGTTACCGCATCACAAAAAACCACTGAAGGGACTTTGATGAAATTTGGTATTGTGATAGCTGGTTATCCGGGTCAACATATAGGATATTTTTTACCGCGGGAAAATATGTCATTTATGAGAAAAAATACAAAAACTGCAATGTAAGTGTATACAAATATGTAAAACCTAAGAATTTGATTTTTGGCCATCTGAACGCGGACGGAGCCGCGGACAATGCTAGTATAGTATATAGATGGACATTATTATTACAAAATAGTAAGCCAAACAACTGTTACCTTCATACTATTATACACAACATCCGCCTGTTCCCGTATTCTGTGGGCGTGTTGTGTGAACACCAGCGCTGCGTCCTCGCTGAGATCCCACGAGGGCGTGTTGCCGACGTACGCGCGCATACGCTTCACGGTCTCAACGCAGGTCGGGTGCTTCAATAGCATTAGCGGCTTTATGTCCAGCTCTAGAAAGGTTGTTTTGGCTTGTACTGTTTGTGTTTTTTTTTGTTAGTTACGTCATAAGCATGATTTGTCTATTTGTAGAAGTTTTATGTATGAAATAAAGTTATAAAATTCGTTGAAGAAACTAAAATCTATACTATTTATACGAAGGTAATTGGCTAGTCTATACTAATATAGATTAAATCCGTAAAAAAATACTACCTACTAGCTACTCACCCTCGCTTCCCTCGGGTTCGTCCCTAGGTACGTTTTAATTTTTTGAGCGGAACCATAATTCTTTTTCTAAAATAAAAGTAACCTATGTTACTCTCTATAACATCAGCTATCTTCCAGTGAAAGTCCCGTCGAAATCAGTCCAGCTGTTTCAGAGATTATCCGGAACAAACAGACAGACAGACAAAAATTTAAAAAAAAAGTGTTTTTCTTATAAATACCGTATATATCTTATGTATTTAATAAACAGCTGTTATTTTGACATTACAAACAAACACTTCAGTTGTATTTATCTGAATTTTATATTTTATAAAGCTGAAAAGTTTTTTTTGCTCTTCTCTGAGACTACCAGTCGGATTTTAAACAAAAATGTTTTTCATTTCATAGTCGAATTCTTGAAGATGGTTATAGGCTATTATATATAACATCAAATTACGACTTTCAAGATAAAAATAGATACACTAAAATAAACTTTAGTACACATTAAAAAGATCTTTTTTAGAACAACGATAATTTGGGTCCCAGATTAGAAATAATAATTTCAAATAAACAGAAAATTCACATCATACAATACACATCCTTTAAAGAAAAGCATACATACATAAAAAATTGACTATAAAATTTTGTCTATGATACAATTTTATTATACGTATGTATGTTTGGCTCAGTATGTAGTGACCCTACTTGCTGTGCCAACGGTCGCGGGTTCGAGTCCCGCTGGAAGCATTCATTTGTTTGTATCATGAGCATGAATATTTGTACTCCAGTCATGGGTGTTTATATTTATAATATTATGTATGTATTTAAAGTTATATATGTGTAGTGTATCAACTATCTGGCATCCATAACACAAGACTCCTATCTTGCCATGGAACTAGATGGTTTTGTGTGTTAATGTCCCAACATATTACAAAGGTATGTATGTATATATATGCACTTACCCATCAAGTCATCCAACAGAGTCAAACATAACTCAGTATCGGCTCTCTCCAAACACAAACACGTCTTGATCTTTGTATCCAGTTCTATCAACTTCATTTCTGTCTTCAGGAATTGAACGCGGGACTTCTTCTCCTCTGCACATAAAGAATTCTATGATTATCTTTAAACTTAAATACATATATTTTTATTTCATTATCTTTTGCTTAGGTATTTATTGTTAAATTAGAATGTACATTTTTCAAAAACTATTTTTCTCTAATCTATAAATATAATAAAATTCTAACCAAGCCGAATCTGTACATTATTTAATTTATTATATTAATATTTTTTTGGAAAATCTTATTGAAATAGTCATTATTATCGGTAAACAAGCCGAATCTATAGTTTTTAGAAATTTTGTCTGTCTGTGACCGCATCACGAGAAAACCACTCGGCAGATTTTGATGAAATTTGGTATGACGCTAGCAGGTTATTCGCGTCAACGTATAGGATACTTTTTACTACGGGAAAATATCTAATCTCTGAGAAATCTATACTAAGCGTTAAAACGTAACTAGTCTATTCATATAGCGCCATCTATGGTTTTTTTATTGAACCATTTTTATTTCCTGCGAAGATCCCATGATGTCACTATCTTTCATTAAGATTTCGATAACATGCAAATAGACAAACAGACAGACTAACATTTATAACATTAGAAATGTAGGCACACACAAACATACACACACATCCTTTTAATACTTTTACATTTTTTATTAGGCATTTTACTATTATTAGACAGATTATAAGAAAACTAGCAGAACCCGCGGCTTCGCCCGCGCTAAAACTGCGAAAAAATCTCTAAAAAGGTAGTTTCATACAAACTTTTATCCCCTATTTAACCCCCTTATAGGATGCATTTCGAAAAATACTAAAACACGTATTTATTTCATTTTATTGAAGAATACTAATACCAAGTTTCAAGTAATTTTCATTATAATTATTTTTTGGATTCTTTGATAACGTGTTGTCACTCCGTTTCGACGTGAAAGAAGGACAAATAAACAAACACACTTTCACATTTATAATATTAATATGGAATTAGAAAGTAGTGATAGTAATAAATTACATGAACTATAAATTTATATGAACGATTTTTATTTCTGTTTTAAATCAAATAGATTTAAATAATCCTCTATTACTGCAACGACCACACAAAGAATATGACAATAGTGTTATAAATTTGATCATCTCCAATAAGTGAACCTGGGTTTCCTAGTTCAGTTCGAATTAATAAACTAAGAGATGTTCCTACTATTCCTGCTCAAATTCCAAAAATAAAATATAAAGTACCAATATCTTTATGATTTGTAGAAAAAAGTCATTTTCGCAAAAATAAAATGGCTGAGTTATTAAGCGATAAATTGTAAATTTATTAACGAGAGTTATCTCTTTTATTAGTCTTATATTCAAATATGATTTAAAATTGCAAATTTTAAGGTGTAAATATTACTAAGGCTTAAAGAATTATTCTTTATAAATAATTTTGAAGACTATTAGTTTAATATTAACTTAAAACCTTAAATAAAAAAAAAAGTTCTAATAATTATTCCTAATAAAGAAATTAAGTTATCATATATATATATATATATATATATATATATATATATATGAAAATTAAAAAAAAAATACCTGTTTCTCTTTCCTTGTCTAAAGTATCCCTCTCTTCCTCAGTCAGATTTAAATCCATCACGAGTTGTTCCATCACAGATTCGGAAGTTATTTGGCCTTTCTCTATAAAAAAATATAGACATATAGAGAAAAAAATTTACATATTAAATGTGACGGAACCACAATTAACAAAACCTCATCATGGGATTTCCGTAACGAAACCCTGTTTTATATTTTTGAAGTTATACTTATTTTATCACGTTTGAAAAAAAATATGATAGTAAAATTTTTAAGATGCGCGCACACACCGACAGCCGAAAGTGACATGATGAAACTATCTGCATTCCTTTTACAGAGAGTTGTGACATACGGGATGAAATCTTTAGCTATTTTTGTTTTTTTACGTCAAAGAAGTATAACTTCTTACGTGCGTACATAAGTACACACACACGTTTTTTTTTAATAAGGCTTTGTATAATAAAAACTTACACCAAAAAATTATTTGAAATAAATGAAAAAAAATTATTATTTACCCAAAAGTTATATTAGTTATATTTTTCATTTCAGTTAAAGTTATATCTTTCATTTTATAAAACACAGTTTTAATTCTGAAAACTGCAAAGGAATATTTAACAGACAAATCCGTAATAAATGTCTATTTCATTTATTATACACGATTGAAAGCCAAATTATTGTTCATAGTTTTGAATTTACCACTGATGCTTGCCACAATTTATACAAATTAATTTTAGGGCAAAAAATATATCAGTCTATTTTTAATATATGTGTACTCGTATATGTTTGTCACTTCACGCAAAAACCACTAAACAGATTTCAATGAAATTTACATACATAGGCCACTGTTAAAATAAAAGCATGTTTTTGAAAAATGTTTTAATTTTAGCTATTACTTTATTATATAATTTTGAAATTTACTAATCATGGTGTTCATAAGTCATGGTGTTGACGCACTTTTTAATTCAACTGAATTATAATTGAATGCATATAGGTATACAAAATTTCGCGTCTGAACTGTTAACTGTTAGTTTAACTGGAGCCCATCCAAGATGGGGAATCAGTGTAAGGTCCTCCTGACCGACTGCACTCAGACACAAGATGCACTCCCAATTCCTTTTACTCTCAAAGTCCGATGGGACACTTGCTCTCAACATAAACACATCGCCAACTTCCCAACTCCGGGCCATTACTGAAAATATCTTAACGGAAAAACTCGGTAACTAAACTTGGACTGACTCGGGACTCGAACTCAGGACCTCCGTATCTGTAACCGTACATGCTAGCCACTACACCACTGAATCAAAGAGAATCAGTTTAACATTACATTACCTAATTGCATCTTCAAAGTGAGAGCATTCAAGGCAGCCTGCCGGTCCCATTGTAGCCGGGCATTATCGTTTTTGAAAGCATTTGGCCGAGACTGGAACAGTTTGACGCCGACGTACTGACCCGATGGTAGGTACGCTATTATAATGTTATCTCTATCTTTGTCGTCTGTAAAATAATATTAAAAAAAAAACAAAAGCCTTTAGATCTTTGACATATGACATTTAATAAAAAAAAATAACCGCAAAAAATGTTTTTGTGGTATTTTTTTTTTTTTATAATTATTTACATGTACTGAATTAACGCTTCACTCGGTCGCGTCCTTAGGTACGTTTCAAATATAAATAGTATACCTAAGAAGAGAGACTCATGCTTGATACTGCGGACTTTTCTGTAGGCATTTTTAAGTTAAATCTAACAAGTTTAGCCAGCATTAGACATGTAAATTTTTAAGGATGACTCCAACCAGTTATTGTGTTTTCCCGTGGAAATGAAAGATTTTCCTGTAGTAAAAATTATACTAAATGTTGACTCGAGTAATAAGTTATCACTACACAAAATTTCATTAAAATCGGTTCAGTACTTTTTGCTTGTAACGCGCACACGAAAACATACAAAAAATAATTTTAAAAAAGTTTTTTATAATATTCACGTACAGATTTCGCTAAGTTAGTTTTATTATATGTACATAGATTATTATAATTACGAAGAAAATCAAACTGGCACCGAAAGAAATGCATTAAAAGTAATAACTTTAATTAGTATTGCTATATTAGCTTAAAGTTTCTTACAACTGAGTTAATCACTAACGAAACATAAACTATACATATAATAAAATTGTAACTTACCGGATCTGTAATTAAATATTTTTTGGAAAATCTTATTGAAATTTACATTATTATCGATACAGAGGCCGAATCTATAGTTTTTAGAATTTTTGTCTGTCTGTCTGTTAGAGCATCACAGGAAAACCATTGGAGGGATTTTGATGAAATTTAGTATGGTGATAACTAGTTATCCGGGTCAACATATAGGATACTTTTTACCGCAGGAAAAAGTCTCATTTCTGAGAAAAAATACAAAAACATCAATGTAAGAGTATACTAATATGTAAAACCTAAGAATTTGGTCTATGGTCACCTGAACGCGGGCGGAGCCGCGAGCAATGCTAGTATCACAATATATATGAAAAATTTTACTATGAAAGTCCTGGTTTTGAAGATGGTGATCAAGAGTTCGATTTTCTTATAGATCATTTATGAAATACATCCTACTAATATTATAAACGCGAAAGTTTGTGAAGATGGATGTTACTCTTTCACTAAAAACGACTTAACTTTTTTTGTACGGATTTTGATGAAACTTTACAATAATATAGCTTACTAGCAGAACCCGCGGCTTCGCTCGCGCTAAAACAACAAAAAAATATTTAAAAAGCATTAATACCAAGTTTCAAGTAATTCTGATCATACATATTTTTTGGATTGTATTATGACGGAAGTGTTTTCCTATGGGAATTAGATAATCTCCCGACAAACAGACAAGAATTCAAACAGACAAAAATTCTAAATATCATTGGTTTGTTTGGGTTCTATTGCGTTAGTAAAGACCCCCAATAATAGTTTTTCTCAAATATCTTCCATGTACAGACAGCGATCAGTTACAATTTTATTATATTTATAGATTAGAAATCGTAATAACGTTAATTGAAGCCGGGAAAAATGGCCGTTGAGTTCCTTTATAGATTAGATACGGTTTGTATGGAATAGATAGACTATATATGTACATGGGTATGATGAGTTTTACATCCCTTAGAAATTATTGATTCTCCATACAAAAGGGATGAATTCCGGGCTAAAAATATCTTATATCCTTCTCAGGGTCTCAAACTATCTCCATAGCAATTTTCATCTAAATCGGTTCAGCTGTTTAGTCGTGAAAATGTAACAAACAAACAGTTACTTTCACATTTATAATATTAAAGTATGGATTGTTAAGAACTTAAGGTATTTTTTTAATGTTTAAGTGTTAGTTTGCGCTAATCTCCTAGCTTATCAGTAAGTTAATCTAGCATCACGAAACGAACCTTAGGAGAGAAATAAAAAATATATATTACATATATTACATATATGGACGAAGAAGCAGGCAAACGCTAGTTTGTAAAATAAAACACTAATATAAATCATTATAATATTTAATAACAAACAACAAAAATCATTACCAGTAATAGAGAAATGTATTAGAAAAAAAAAGCAAATTTATTAAAAAAAAAAAACAAAAATAAACAACCATAACCAATAGAAGAACTATTTAAAAAAACAGCGATTTTCATTCGGAAACATTTCCACAATATCCGCTATGTCATTATTTTGATACAAGCATCCATTTTGTTTCACATAATCTACGTAATTGTGATACAATCCTATATCACCGTGTTGAATCGACATAGCCACCATTTTGTTAAAATTAATTTTATTATTATTAAATAAAGTCTCCATATTATTATTGAAAAACGGGTTATTATCAAATACATTATTATTTTCAATAAATTGTACAGTATCATTTATTTGTAAATTCTCATAGCTTGTCATGTCCATGTTTTTAAATGTTTTATTTAATGGAGCGATAGTTGGAACATCCTGACATTGATGAGAATCTTTCTGAGATATATTTAACGAATCTTGCGACATTAACGTTTCGTCATCATCTAATACAACGTAAGAATTTAAAACGACACCATTAATAGAAATATAACTTTCTCGTTTATTTTGACATTCTCCCACTTTATTTTCTTTCCCGATACAATTATTTATTTTAGTTGATTCATATTGTATTATTTCAGTTTGTTGATTATGCTTTAATGGAGGAACAAACTTATTTTTGGATATATTTATTTTTTTATTTATATTATCGTTCATTGTTTCCATGTTTGAAGAAATTATTTGTGATTGAATTAAATTATTCGGGCTAATATTTTGATTGTCGTCTGAAAATTTTATAATATAATAATCATAATTAGTCAATTTAATATTCAATTTAAGTAAATAAAATCAAATTGCATTGATAAAAATGACCCCAATCCGTTACTCTGATTCCACGTGAAAGAAAGACAAACAAAAGTCAAACTGTAGGTATATCGTAGAAAGACAAAGTATCAGATCTACAAATTCATTCAAGTAGTTTATATTAATTTTAATATTCCGTTCATAATTAAAAAGTAGTAGTTGTAAGGAAAAAGAAAAATTTATTTTTTACATTGTTCGGTGATTTTTTTTTCAATTTTTCTCTTCATAAGAACCTTTCTCGGACTACAACAAATATTTGAAAAAAAATATATAGCCGAATTGGTCTAGCCGTTCTCGTGTTTTACGCTTAGCAACACATTTAGCCATTCATTTTTATTTATATAAAATTTATAGAAACCGAAAAATAGATTAGAATAGATAAAAATGTCGATAATTAATGTGGCTTACAAGCAACATTAAATTATAAACTAAATCATACTAATATGCTTAATAAAGAAGTAAAATTTGTAAGTTTGTTTGTAGGACGGAAGTAATTTCTGGAAATACTGAATCGACTTAGATGAAATTTGGTAAGAAGATAGTTTGAGACCCTGGCACGGGCATAGGATAATTTTTATACCGGAATATTTGTATGGGAAATGTACCTAGCTAGGGACGAGCCCGAGCGAAGCGAAGGTTAGTCTCTAGTGTAAACAAAATAAATAAATATAGAGAAAATAATAATAAATTCATACCAAAATTTGAGCATTCGTCTTTTAAATTATTCTGATATTCCGAAAAATCCTTAACACCATTTGCAAAGTTATCGTCATAAAGAAGAGACATGTCTTCACTGAATAATCCAAATATATGCTTTAATTTATGCATTTTTGTTATAATTAGATTTAATTGAATTTTTTAATAATCAACTAGATATAAAAAAAATATATTATAAAATCATTATGTTGAAAACGTTCGCTTGAAAATTTAGTTTCGCGCCGAAATTATATGTCAAAAGACTTGATAAATATTGTAACAATGTTTTTTTTTTAAATTACATAAAAGGCAAAGGTAGTTCGCGATACTGCCAAAATTAAGTCGGCTTAAACTTTTTTTTTAAATTTTATAAACCATAAAGCATAAAGTATTTCATGATTCTACCAATTATAGTTGTACTTTATATGTATTTTTAACCGACTTCAAAAAGGAGAAGGTTTTCAATTCGATTAGTATTTCTTTTTAATTAATAATTTTAAAAATTTTAGTTTGTGCATAATAATACAATTCCATTAAATCCATACTAATATTATGAATGTAAAAGCTTATGTGGATTGATAGATGTGTTTGTTAATCAATCACGCCAGAACAGCTGAACGGATCTGGATGAAATTGGGGACACAGATAGTTTAGTCTGGAATAGCACATAGGTTTCTTTTTACCCTGGAAAAATGTACGGTTCCCTTGGGATAGACTTGTTTTTGTTTTTCACTACGGAAGAGCCAGAGCGAGGCAAGAATGAGTAGGTGAGATGAGCTAGTATGTGAATAAAACTTACCTGGTACAAATGGCTCCTTCAAATCTTCTAGTTCACACTAAAAATAAAAATAAAATGTTTTAACAACGATATTTAATAAAAATATTAACAATATTAAACAGCACACAGCGACAGCTTATTAATTATAACAAAAGCATAATATTTATTACCTGTGGCACAGCATTGAAATATTTGATATTCTTTTCTGCCTTCTCCTTAACGGGTTCAGGTTTTTCTTTCTCCTTTTCCTTGTCCTTCTCCTTATCCAGTACGGGGGAAACCGCGCGACGTTTCTTTGGGGCAGGAGACGGTAGAGTGGCATTCTCTTCTGTCTGTTCATCTATGTACCTGTAAAATGTATTTGTTTAATCAAAAATGTATCCAATCTAGATATAGAGTTTTAATAGCTTTCTTTTATTATTAAGTTGTAATATCGCTTCGCACGGGTGCGTCCCTACCTACGTACGTTTTTTTTTGACCGGTACCAATTCTTTTTTATAATTAAAAGTAGTCTAATTTACTCCCTATAACATCATCCATCTGCCAGTGGAAGTCCCGTCCCAGAACAACGAGACAGAGACACACAAAAATGTAAAAAAATGTATATTTCCTATAAATACTGTATATAATTTCATATGCATTATGTAAAAAGCTCTTAATATGATATTACAAACAGAGACTGCAATTTTATTTATTTGTGATGAACTGATGATAGAAAAACTTGATTTGTTTAGACATGTCCCATACATAAAGTTCAGCCAAAAAAAATACTTTCAGTTTTAAAAAATTATACTATAACATTTAATTGAAAATTAGATGATAAAAGATAAAATATAAAACAAATAGCGTGCAAAAATATAATATTTGAATAAAAAGCGTAGTGCATACAGTTTTGAAATAAAATAAAACCAAAAATATTAAACACACATGGAAAATCTCATTGAAATAGACATTATTATCGATACAGAGACCGAATCTATAGTTTTTAGAATTTTTGTCAGTCTGTCTGTTACCGCATCACAGAAAAACCACTAGAGGGATTTTGATGAAATTTGGTATGACGATAGCTGGTTATCCGGGTTAACATATAGGATACTTTTTACCACGGGAAAATATCTCATTTCTGAGAAAAAATACAAAACTGCAATGTAAGAGTATACTAATGTAAAACTTAAGAATTTAGTTTTTGGCGGTCTGAGCGCAGGCGGAGCCACGGGCAATGCTAGTTTTAAATATAAATCTATACTAATATTATGAAGAGGCAGGATTGGTTTGAACGCGCTAATCTCAGGAACTATTAATCCGATTTGAATTGTTTTCCATTAGATAGCCTGTTTATTGAAGAAGACTATATATAGGCTATATTATATCATCATACTACTACTCAAGGGAGCGGAGCAGTAATCATAAATGTCAACAAATCGAACAGGCTTCCATACATTATTGTAAAACTGATGTTTATAATATGTTTATGTGCTTTAAGCTTAGAATATCTTAATATTTATAATTCATATGTATGTGTTTGTCATATAACTCCTCTTAAACGAATGGACCGATTTGGATGATTTTTTTTGTCTATATTTCAATGGGTTTCTGGATGGTTTGAAAATACAATTGGACCCGGTAGGTGGCGCTGCAGTCGGTGTGTCACCAAATTTTCATGTAATGTAACGTACGCAGGGACGAACTCAAGCGCAAGAGTGAGCTGCTAATTTTTTAAATATATGTAAGTCATAATCGCAAATGATACATTTACCTCAATAATGTCATTTCGGCATTGACTCTTTAATGTATGGATTATATATAAACAATAGTGCCATCTTTACAACTATTGCTTTATAATATATCCAATAATTCTAATACTTCGTTATATCTTCCCCTTTCAAAGGAAGCTATAAAACTAAGTTTAACTCATAACATATAAAGGTTTTTAATATTTAGTTAACATCAACAAAATATAATACATAAATATGTTGGGACAGTAACACGAATCACCATCTAGTTCCATGTTAAGCTACAAGGTCTGTGTTGTGGATACCAGATAGTTTATACACTATACTTATATAACTTTATATATATGGATATTATAAATATCAACACCCATGACTGGAGTACAAACATTCATACTCATCACACAAATGAATACCAGGGGGATTCAAACCCGCGGCCGCTGGCACAGCAAGTAGGGTCACTACAAACTGAGCCAAACGTGTCGTCAAATATAATACATACAATGTAAATGCAAATGAATATTTTCATCCCAAATCAATAATGCCATAAAATTCAATACGAGCAACATTAATTTCATTCCTAAATATTGTTATTTAAATAATAAAATAAAAACCGACTTTAAAAAAAGACTAAAAAGTAAAAAATACCTGATTGGTAGTTTTCATTTAGTTTTTTTTTTTTGTAAAGATTATTTTTTTTCTATTTTTAGTTGCAGTAGCAAAGTAAGAAGAAAGTATTTTAATAACATATTCGCTTTTGCTGTGCAAATTAAATTCGCTTTTATTAGTAACAATAAAAAATCTTTGTCCAAATTCTAATTCTAACATATTAGGTTTGTGAAATCAAACAAAATAAAAACTTTTTAATAAAAAAAATTAAAAACGACTTATATCAAAAACAAAAACACAGTTATCATTTACTATAGATACCTAATCAAATATTTTCGACGTCGGTGTGCTTTGATTTGTATCGGCTGGCACAGATTTTAAAAATATTTGATTAGGTATCCATAGCAACAGAAAACTAGCAATCAGGAAGTCAGTTTTTATTTTTTCATAATTTTTTTTTTTTTGTATAGACAGTAGCAGCAAAGTAAAAAAAAAGTATTTTAATAAAACATTCGCTTAAGCCAGTTAGTTTGATGGCAATTTTTATATGAAGACTTAAACTAAAATTCGCTTTCATTAGTAAAAATAAAAAATCAGGCTGTAAATTCCCATTCTAAAGTATTGGGTTTATCAAATCAAACAAAATAAGCCCAAAGTCAAAGTATCTACTATTAGCCGCTGAAGAGTTCCACCTATCCACCTTCTGGCCTTAATGTCAGAACAGGTCGACGATAAAGAATCACTGCACTATCAACGGAGATAGAATCACTTGCAAAATTTTAAATCAATATGAGAATTAGAAGAAGGTTAAATTTTCATTTGCTATTTTTCCACCCTTAGAGGTATTTTTTTTTTCAAATTAAAATGGGGCCAAACTGTGAACATTGTACAACAAAACAAAAATAGTCCAAATCGGTTAATAAATGACGGAGTTCTGAGGTAACACACATAAATAAAGATACAGCCAAATTGAAAACCTCCTCCGTTTTGATGTTGGTTGAAAAATGAAATGTAGCCAATAAATTAATACCAAAATTTGAACATTCATCCATTAAATTGTGTTTATAATATAATATACATATAATCTTAGCTAAAAATAAATACAGAATTATTTTAAGAAAATATTATTGTAATTTCTTTCAATTTATCACTTTTTAATATTTATATATTATTAGTTAGGTTTTTGTTTAGGTCGAATTCACAGTGCAGATTTTTTTTTGACAATTACTTCAGTTTCGCTATTATGCAAATAATTATAATCTATACTAATATTATAAAGAGGTAAAGTTTGTGAATTTGTAACGTTGTAGTATAATAAATTTCCTTCATACGATAAACAAAAAATCTACCTTTTAGGCCGTATTTTCCTCCCACTTCTGCTAACAATCTCTTCTTCTTTCTTCTCCTCTTCCTTTACTTCTTCATAATCTTCCTTTTTCGGTCTGCCGCGCGGTGTTTTAGCTTCTTTTCCTTTTGGCGTTTCTTTAGCTGGCGTTTTAGCCGTTGACTTTCGGCCTTTTTGCTAAAGTAAAAAAAACCAATATTGAAAAACATTTATTTATTTCATCATTCAATCAAATTCACCCAACATGTCTCACAATTTGAGTTTATTTAAAACTAGCGTCTCACCCTCGCTTTGCTCGGGGTCGTCCCTAGCTCGAGTCCCCATACAAACTTTCATCCCCATTTTCAGCCCCATATGGGATGATTTCCGGAATAAAAGCATCTTGTGTCCTGCCCAAGGTCTCAAACTATCTTCTTGCCACATTTCATTTAAATCGGTTCAGTAGATCCAGAGATTACCCCCTACAACGTCACAAACTCACAAACTTTACCTCTATATAAAAAAATCAAGTGGTCAAAAAAAATACTTCACATTCCTTTGTATTTTAACACATCAAAAATCAGGTATTCTATTAAAGCTCGTCCATTCTAAACTCAAATTATTCCATTCTTCTCTAACTCTCACTTTCTGTTATATAATAACTGCCAAATTATTAAAAAAAAATAGTTGAAAGGTACACAATACATACATTAGGAGGTGCTTTGCCTTCGTCAATAATGAGAGCACCTGTTTCATCTGAATCCTCAATGCCTGTATCATTTTGAATTGTGTTCTACAAAATAAAACAAAAATATTATACACCACATAAAAAAAAAATAACTTTTTCTCTGTGCCAAATTTCATCCACATCTGTTCAGCTATTTTAACATTAAAGAGTGACAAACATCCATGCATCCATCCTCACAAACTTTCACATCTATACTAATATTATCAAGAGGTAAAGTTGTGAGATTGTGTGTTTGTGACGTTGTAGGGGGTAATCTCTGGATCTACTAAACCGATTTAGACGAAATTCGGTAAGAAGATAGTTTGAGACCCTGGCAAAGACATAGGATACATTTATTTTAGGAGACATTTTTATGCAGGAAATCATCCCTTAAGGGGGTGAAAATGGGGATGAACGTTTGTATTGGGAAGCATGCTAGGGATGAACCCGAGCAAAGCGAGTGTGAGTCGCTAGTTTATAATATTAGTAGGATAAATACCTCCTCCACCATAGTGTCATCTGCGGCTGTAGTATCTGCCGCAGAATCATTGGCAGTATCATTTGCCAATTCATTTATTGTTTTGATATCTGCTTCTGGGGCCTGTAATAAAACATGTAGCTAGATGAAACTATGACTCTAAATTTCAATATATAAAGTAAGCCGTAATCAGATATAATCTTAAACAATTTTGAATATTCAACTCATTTGTTATTTCAAAATCAACTTTTTTTTTAATATAAGAAATCATTTCAGTAAGTATTAAAATTAAAGAGATGCATATAATAATATAAGAAGGTATTTAAAGCATAACTTATTGACAAAAACAAAAAACAATATAATAGTGTTACTCTGTTTTTAAATTATGTATTTACCTCCAAAGCTAAACCAATAACTTGTTCCAATGGAACATTATTAGCAAAATCATGTTCAATCTGTTTAACACCATCGTTAAAATCCCTTCTCTTCACTGTTTTAGTCAGAAACTTATCTTTATTCTCGGCATAGTCAAATATCATGTTTGGTGGTAGATTTGCACTGAAAAATGTAATAAATATTGCATTCTGTCTTATTGCTTAAAACTAGTTAAGTGCATTTCTACAAAAGTATGGGAATTGGATTTAATTTTTAAAATTTTGTTTATGTAAATTTTTACTTACGTTTCTCCAGTACCATAGAAATAAACAAAATATTTCTTCCCATTCATTCTTTGAACCTGGAAGTTTATTAATTATTAATATTTAGTATAAATATTTATGTCAATAATATAAGAAAATATACAATATCTGGAGTTTAAAATAATTTAGAAAATAAATTTGCAGTATAATTATTTAAAAAATGTTTTATTATGAATAAATCTAGACCATGATATATTTAACATTTTCTTACTTTATTTAAATAAATTAAATCATTTTTTTTATTTATTACTTGTCTAGTTACATTTATTTATGATTTACAATAATATTAATATAGACCTACAAGCACGAGTTGTATTTTGAAAAGGCTAGAATCGTTTTAAAGCAAATATTAGTATTAGTCAGATTTTAGATAAAAAAATAAGAATAAAGTCATTATAGCATATCCTATTAGAAAATAAATAGTTTTTATTATTAAAAACAGACAAAAAGATCCAAATATTAGATTATATTAGGTTAAGCCAATAAAACTAAAGATATTTCAAATGCATAAATCACCCACATAATGTAGGCAAGCTTCAAGCGTCACTAAATATGTCTTCCCGCGCGAAGAGTTTAGATAAGTGTTACATAGCAAAATAAGGTTTTGAATAAGAATTTATTACATTTTTAACACTCACCCTTGCAGGCCATGCTGGATATCCTTTTACTTTTGCGAATATAAAGTCTCCTGACTTATATTCGCGGACTTTTTTACCCATCTTCATTGGGACCGTAATCAAAATATGTATTCGGTTAATAAGAACAATCACCACTTTTGTCACGGGCACTGAAATTGCAAATGAAAATTATAGATACTCTATATCAAAATCTGATAAAAATACACTGTTTATATTTGTAAGTGTTTCCAAATTTCAAAAAGACGCTATGATAAGATATAACCTTAAAATTCTTACCGCGGTAACGAAATGACGGCAAAGAAAAGAAATAAACATGGCGTGCTATGATGTTGCTATATAAAATAACAAAACAAAATGTTTGAACTAGCGTTTTTAAAATTAAACCGTTTCTAAAATCTGACTAGAACAATAGTTTTAGTTAGATTTTAGATATACACAATAGAAATATACGAAATGACATGATTACTATTAAAATTTATTTATTTTTTATTTACAAACTAACGTAACTTCTATACATATTATGATAAAATTCTGAGTCGACTCTGTACATTAAATATTTTTTTGAAAACCTTATGGAAATAGTCATTATTATCGATTCAGAGGCCAAATATATAGTTTTTACAATGTTTGTCTATCTGTCTGGGAACGTATCACGGGAATACCATAAATTTGTGTGATGAGAGCTAGTTATCCGGGTCAACATATACGATACTTTTTCTGCAGAAAAATATCTCATCTTTGAGAAATCTATGCTAAACGTTAAAACGTAAGTAAGGACAAACCCGAGCGGAGCGAAGAGGAGTCGCTAGTATGATATAAAATCTTTTAATAGATTACAGATAATAAAGTAAAATTGTATAATTTTATTGCCATTTAAAATATATTTAATAATTTTACAATCAAATCTATAGATATTGTAATGCTACATTTACACGCTTGCCGAGGCTTGGCAAACTTCTACAAGCTCCAAGCCTATACAAACGCTTGGGTGCCATTTACACGCTTGGGAGTGCATTAGTTGCGGGTAAATTACCCGAAAAGCGGGTAATTTTAGGCAAATGGCAGATGGCGGGTAGTTTTGACGGGAATTTTCATTGAGCGGGGTCAAAGTAGGTATTTTAGTTTAGCTGATTAATTTGATATTTTAAGTTTTTTTTACGTTTGATTTAATAATTTAAAGCTGTTTGATTGAGAACTTATTACAATGAATTCTTTTTTTTAACATTAAAGTACTTTCTTTTATTCTATAATATAACACATGAATAAATTACTTTAAAAAAACTATTTTCGGGCATTCTGCTCATGGTTGGCGCCGGTGGGATAAACCCGGTATTTTGAGGTTTATTGGCCGAGTAAATCAACAACTGTTATCTGGCAGCTCTGATTAGTTAGCGTGTTCCGGACACTCAAGCTGTGCAGATGTGGACGTTGAAGTAGTGTTGACTATTGCATTTGGCTTGACATATTTTTAACTATATATATAATAAAATTGTAACGAAGCTGAATCGGTACTTTAAATATTTTTTGGAAAATATTATTGAAATAGACATGAGCTCGTGAGAGAGTGACACTGAACACGCACTAACGTAATATTAGCCACGAGCGCTTGCCGCAAGCTTCTTTTGATCTGTATTCAAAGACCGAACACTAGCCCGGATCGTGACAAGTTCACGCAAGCCAAGCCAAACACCCCGTTTACACGCTTGTGTTTGTGGACGCTTGTCGAGACTTGCCAAGCGTGTAAATCTAGCGTAATATATACATACAGATTAATCAAAATTCATTATTTAAGAGGATAAAAATACTTTTAGAGTGCAGTAAGCTTAAAAATTGCTGTTAATGCGCGTTCTGACGCTGAATTAATGATACATTAAAACACTTCTATAGGTGTATCTTTACTAATATTATAAATGCGAAAGTAACTGTGTCGGTCTGTCTGTCTGTTAGCAAATAGATAGTTTTTATCCCAGAAATCATCCCTTAACGGGGGAAATGAGTGGCGGAAATTTGTATGGAGAATAAAAAATTTGTGAAGTATATATATATAAATATATATATATATATATAAATTATAATAATAATTTTCTATGCTATACTTAAACGTAAAACGAGCTAAAACGTACCTAGGGACGAATGCGAGTGAAGCGAGGATGAGTCTCTGCGAGTAATAATATTAATATATTTTTTTTATTATTTTATAATCCTTTTTGTTTTTTTATGTTGATTAAAATTAATATGTATCTATAAATTATTATTTTTAGTTTATTGCAATAAAGACGAGCCATAAGACAGTGTTTTAACAAAGTAAAAAGATTCAGCTGCAAACTGCAAAGTGGCAACTCAGTTACTATTAGCGGTCGTGTCAGATGGATGCATTGGGCGAGCATTTTCGCGTAAACTAATTGATTTCTTCTAATTAAATTATTGTAAATCATTGTAGTAGCAATGAAAGTGTGATATGAGCCATGCATAAAAATATTACGATAATATTTATAAAAGTGACTTTAAAATAGGGGTGTAACTGGAAAATAAAAATGGCCTCGGGAGATAGTGATCATATCGAGGTGATGGATAGTTCTGTGATGAAGAAAGAAGGACCAGGACAGTCGGGCTCAGAGGATGACGGTAATTTAAAATATTAAATACATACCAAAATTAATATTATTGAACTCCAATGCATGGTTTTAAAACTCGACCTAATTTCCTGATATTAACTTTATGTTTTTTTCTGTCGTTACAGATCGCGATCGAGCATCTTTAGCGGAAAAAAATGTACCCTATGATGTGAGTGACTCATTGTTATTACATTAATAAATTTTCATTCATACTGTGCATGTAAAGTATTGAGAGAAAGTTTGGGGAACCAATACCATTGCTATGAATTTATTAAAGTGATTAAAATACATAAGTAATTAACATATGATGACCATTTCAATCTTCATTTTACTTGATTTATTTATATTTTTATACTTGAATAGAAATGCTTACATTGCCTTGTTGGTTAATTATGTTGACTGCATAGTTCTTAGTCATTGATTAATTATTGTATGGAAACAAATAGCATCACAGATTATGCGAACATGTACCTTTTTAAGAGATTGTAATTTGAATTAATCACTCTTGTACCAGTCATCTCTAAAATTTCTTTCTCTAATAGATTATAATATGGTTATTTCTATGTTACTATGGTTGCTTGCAATGAAAGTTTCTTTTTATAAACCATTTGATTTAAAAAAGAAAGCAATAAATTAATTAACTTTTTAAAATTTATTAATGTCTGGTTTTACTTTGCATTTAGAATTTTACAGTATGGGATTAAATATTGTATTCATTGATATTTTAATGGGTAAATAATGATCCTATGTAAAAGCTTACTTTATAGAAGCCGGTCATGTGATATGGAATACTATTTTATTGAACACTAGTCTAACTTATGTAACTTAAATGGTTATATATACATTTAACCTAAACTTGTTAAGCATAAAAAAAAACTAAAAAATACATTTATAATATAAATTTTTAGTAGTTATAGTGAATGTACATAAAAAATTTGAACAAAAATAAGATTTTTATATAATTATGATTAATTGTATAAGACTTTACTCAACTGTGTTATTTTTTGTTCAAAGACAATAGGTATTACTTTTTATTTTTTTAATGTCTACTTTCAAGGATGTATCAAAGTCTAACTAACCAGTTTACAATGACACTTGAAGTAAAAAATTAATGACTTTTTAACAAAGACTAATAACTTCCATTGCTATTATAAAAGATAATGTAAATATTATATTTAACATTTATTTTGAATGTTTTGTTATCTGTATCTCTCTTTCTAAAAAAAGCATTGTTTTACTTTCTTTCTTTGTCTTCATTTAATGGCATTCTGGTATTCTTAGAACTGGTTACTTCCCAGCACTCTGGAAGATTTCTTAGATCATTATGGTTCCCAAACTAGAAAAACCACCACACATGATCACTTCTTATAGGCCGATAAGTCCTAGCAATAACATCTAAATTATTTGAGAAAATCCTTCTCAGAAGACTACTAGAGGTCATCTTACAAAGATAGATTATACCAGACAACCAATTTGGCTTTCAGAAACACAAAGAAGCTTCAGTAATCTTATAATCTGCGCTGTACATAATAGATAAATGGTGTATAAGACCTAACAACTCGAAATCAGTCCAGGTGACCTTCAGTCTTCGAAGAGAGAAATTGCAACTCTTTGAAACAGCCAACTACCTCAACATGACACTTCTAAATATCTGAGAATGCTAGGGCTCATAATAATTATATCCTAAAATAGATATCCAACACTCCATGGTTCATAATGATCACAGAACTCGATGAACATCTCAGAGTAGCAACTGTTAAGGATGAAATAAAGCTCTTCAGTTCCAAATATAAAGCTAGGCTAAATAAACAGTCCAACCCATTAGCTTTACAATATATAAATAATAACATGTTGGGACATCCCATGAGGCTTGTGCTATGGATACCAGATAATTGATACATTACATATATATAACTTTAAATACATACATAATATAAATTACCTACAACAATTACTAACAATACCAAGGAGCAAGCGAAAATTAAAAAAGAGGCACATCATTGATGGGTACTCATAAAGTCATAATAGAAATAAGATAGAAAGTAATGTATTTAACCCTTTTTTTATAATGTCCCACTACTGGGCATGGGTCTCTCTTCATACGAGTGGGATCAGGCCATAGTCCACCACACTGTCCAAGTGCAGGCGGACTTCACATGCTTTTGAAAACTTGGTAGGTTCTCTCGGACACGTAGGTTACCTCACAATGTTTTCTTTCACCGTTAAGGCAAGTGGCAATAATCATAGAAATTATTCGCACATGAAAATATGACAAGTGCGAGACCCGGGATTTGAACCCGCTTCACTCGGTTTCCCTAACGACCTCGTTATTGCTGGGCTATCACTGCCTCAGATAGAAAGTATTCACAGGAAATGTGCATAGTATTACTCACCTTCTTCAAATCTGCTTACATTCTAGGATCTATTGCATGATAAGTCACAAAAAAAACAGTATTTCACTGTACATTTTTTGTGTGCGTGATGACAAACAAGACTCATTAAACTGTAAAAACAATTATTTAAATTTTTTCCTCTTTATTTTACGCAATGTATATATATGTATGTTCATATAAGTAATTACATATAATAATATATTTATATTTTTAAATGTAATTATATGAAAATGTGAGAAAAATTAACATAGGAACCATTCGTAATACATAATACATATAAACATAATTTGAAATAGGAGGAAAAGAGTATTATTATTTGTTATTCTTTCTTTCACGTCGAAACGGAGAGACGGATTGGCGTAATTTTTTGTGTGGAGATAGTTGGAGGGCTGGACAATGACATAGGCTACTTTTTATCGCGGGAGATTATCTATTTCCCACGGGAAAACACGTTATAATACAATCCAAAAAATATTTATGATCAGAATTACTTGAAACTTGGTAATATGCTAATATAAAATATAATGCTCTTCAATAGAATTAAAAAAATACGTGTTTTACCGTTTTTTGAAATTTAATCCTATAAGGGGGTAAAATAGGGGATGAAACTTAGTATGAAACTACCTTTTTAGGGATATTTTGTACTTTATCGCGAGCGAAGCCGTGGGTTCTGCTAGTGTATTCATAATTTAATAATTTCACATATTTTTTTAAAATGAGACAACAGATAAATTAAATATTTTAAAGTTCTTGTTTTCTAATCTGTCTAAAACACACAAGTATTTTGGAAGTATAATTTATTGTTCTTATATAAAAACTCGATTCCCTATACAAACTTTCATCCCCATTTTCACCCGTTTAAAGGATGATTTCCGGGATAAAAAGTATTCTATGTCCTTTCCCGGGGTCTCAACCTAAATCTGAGCTCTAAGCTCAAAAAATATTTAATGTACAGAGTCGACTCAGTTAGAATTTTATTATTGGACTAGCGACTCTTCGGTTCGCTCGGAATCGTCTCTAGTTTGCTTCCCAATACAAATTTTCACCCCTATTTTCACCCTCTTAAGTGATGATTCAGGATAAAAACTATCCTATGTCCTCCAAATTTCATATAAATCGGTTCAGTAGATCTAGACATTACCCCCTACAACGTCACAAACTTTACCTCTTTATAATATTCGTATATATAGATATGTAATTGAAGTGTCTGTTTGTAAGTGTTGTGATAATGATACGGAACCCTTCGTGCGGGAGTCCGACTCGCACTTGGCCGGTTTTATCTAGCTTGCCCTGTTTGTTTGGGTCAAATTTTGTATTTGAAATTTTAGCCCTTTCCTGTTTAGGTTGATCTGATATTTGTTACACACTTTTAGTTCTGATGACAATACAATTGAATACATTCAGTTTCATTGTAAATCTAAGATGGTCGCGGCAACAAAATGGCGGATAGATATTTTTCCACAACCCTCTGAATATAAGTATCAAATGATATCAACTAATAGAATAAAGTACACAATGAAAAAAAACCAAATCCAATATAGCCGCCAATAAAATGGCCCATTACATATTTTTTCACAATCCCCTCAATATGGGGATCAAATAAAAAGTCTTTAAAAGTAGAACATAGTGCATGGCGGATCATAGAGTTTAAATAGTTTAAAATAAAAAACAAAATAGGTACATATTTACTTAGGTTACACTATATATTAGGTTACACGATTTTATTTTTATTACATTAAATACATCATTATTATCTTTCTTTACAATAAACCGTTTAAGTTAAAAAAATTTTTTACTCATTTTATTACTAAATGCATATGAAATTATACACCTACTGTACTTGTAAAACAAGTACAAATTTAAAATTTTTGTCTGTTTTTCCGGCTAATCTCCAAAACGGCTGTAATAATTTTGATGGGACTCTCACTGGCATATAGCTGATGTTATAAGGTAACAAAAGTAACTCGGGCTACTTTTATTATAGAAAAATAATTAGGATTTCGTTAAAAAAATTAAAACGTACCTAAGGACACACCCGAGCGAAGCAAGTTTAAGTCGCTAGTAACCAACATAAATTTAACATATTTTTTTTACAAGAAATTCTCTCTAGAAATAGTTGTTCTTTCAGTAACAGAAGATTACACTATATAATACTACGTATCATAGGTTAATTATGGAATATAGAACTAACAAGAAGGAGGATGCAAGCAGAAACGGGTGCAAATTAGTCAAACATATTTTTCCTCATTGCCTAAGTTATGACATAAATATGTATATTCAAAACGTGGAATAACCCTACGTCTGTACGTCTGGCTGACGGCCAGTTCGAACCCCGAAATGGTCATAACGAAGATCGTGACTCATTACTTGTTAGCTTAGTACAATAACCCGTCTGTATCGATATTTGTCACAGAATATACTTTATGATATCTTTATTATTAGCGACTCACTCTTGCTTCGGTCGATTGCGTTCTTAATTCTTATGTGCCACACAGTAGCCTATGTATTACTCCAGTATATATTGCGGAAAAATTAAAAATTCAAAAAAAAACCCCGACCATCTTGGACCGAGTTTTATCAATCATAGCTGAGAACACTCCAAAATCAACATCGGTTCATCCGTTCGGGAGCCACGGTGCCACAGATAGACACACACATAGACACGTCAAACTTATAAAAACTCCGTCGTTCTTGCGTCGGTGGTTAAAGATTAATTAAGTTTAGGAGCATTTTGCATTTGACCTTCGGCATTTTACAAACGACATCGCTTGTATAGTGACCAATTAATTATACTTTATATAAACCAAGTGAAGCGGGTTCAAATCCCAAACCTCGCACAGTTGTTAGTCATTTTCTACATGGTTACCATTTATCTTACGGTGAAGGAAAACATCGTAAGGAAACCTGCATGTCTGAGAGAACTTAGCAAGTTTTGAAAGACATTATTATGTAGTCCGCCAACGTGACTAGCGTCGTGGTGGACTGTGACTTGGTCCCTCTCGTTTTAAATATAAGAGGACCAAGGCCTACGCCCTAAGCAGTGGGACTGGGAATATTCCTGCGACATACACAAATATATATATATATAATTGGAATTGCATGTAATTTGTTGAATGTTATACTGTATGTAAGTGGCGTAAGGATATTCACGCGCCAATATATATTTCATTGGCACGTGCTAAATATTTTTGTTTCAATTACTTACACAAACGCATTAGAATCATAGAAGAAAATAATCGATTAATTAATTCTTTATTGTTAGTAATAATATTATGGTGCTACATTAATCAGAGAAAATAAAATAGAGATTAAGATATTTTACTTGCAAGTTTTTAGTAACTGGCATGCGTGTGTTGTGTGTTCACACGTGCTACTTATCAAAGGTTGTGCAACCTACTTTAACAGATTAACTGTCCGCAAAATAGACACAATAGTAAAACAATCGAAATGTTCATATATGATTCATGGGACACGGAAATGGTTAATGTCAGCTACAGATATGCAGCAAGTTGACAAATGCACATGCCAGTAACTGGCTAAGCTACTGGCATCGGTGTAACCGGAAATTTAAACATAAATATAGCCAAAGCTAGACATTTGTTTATTAATGTTATGACTCACGATTATTTTAATATATTTGACATTCAAAAGATATTCAAAATATGTGGTTGCATGTATCTGCGACGTGAATCAAACTTAGTGATAGTAATAAGATGCGTGCGTTTATATTTTAAGATAGATAAGATGTCTATCTGAATTTTAAAAACCTATCCAGCGATCTAACCTATTCGTCAGTTACATATAAACTCCAATTGTTTCCGAGTAAAATTGTTGTGACATACATACACGTACACATGAGTGATTAAATTATAGGGGTTCCTATATAGCCTTTTGTCTGCAGAATACTTAAACGAATCATGAAAAAAAACCGACTCCGTAAAAACTAACTGAAAAAATAAGAGAGAGAAGAACAAGATGACAAATAAACTGTATTATGCAGTCGGAGACAAACACGTAAAGAAACTCGCAGCAAGTATAAAAGAAAGGAATTAAAAAAAAATTACAGACACATAAATTGGCGCCTGAGATCCGCCATGTTGATTTTTACCAATATCCCTGTAGCCTATAACACTCGCGTTATTAAGACAAATCTAACGACGTATGAATCATTAAAATCGGTTAAGCCGTTTAGTAACTACGGGGCGATATAACCTGAAACGAGTTAGATAACTTAAATTCTTTTATGAAATCGAAAAAATTTTGCTATAGTACTATATAATATAGGTATATATATTAAATATCACGTGTACGAGGGATCATAGAGTCGGACGTACATACATATTACATAATATGTTAAGTTAAACACAACCCTTCTTTGGGCTTAGCTGCAGTCGGGTAAACAGAACACAACAATTTTCTCCTAATTACACTTCATCAATTAATCTTGTTTTCGTTTCTTGATACAAAAAGTCCATTTAAACTACCCCGTTCTCAGAACTCCAGCACTTATTGTGGGAAGTAAACTTAAAGTTAGTCAGTTAAGTCGTTGACCTAACAAATTTGGCGAATCCATTAAATTACAGGCGTAGGCGGTTTATAGTTTGGCCAGAGCAGTAAACGTGATGTGGATTCTTGTGGGTTTTTAAATAAAATATATTACAAACTAGTGACTTCTTTCGCGTCTCTCGCGTGCGTCCCCTGGATGCCTCTGGATCAGTACGTTGCGGCTTTAGTGCTTATTTGTTCAAACCACCATTGCTTGTGGTGCTATGTTTTGTCTACTTTTTCAAGAACATTGCATTATTTCTAATATTTATGTATGTATGTATATATATATATATATATATATATATATATATATTAAATACATCTTTTTGGTTTTTATTTAAAGTAAAATGTCTATTTGATATCAATATAGTTCACAATTAAAAGTGAATAATTCTGTATTAAAATTTAAATTACTCTTGCGGTAAATTGATTGTATGGACAAATAAGCACTGAGACGACGACTTGTTAAAATGGTGAAGAAAACCATCTAATAATACTCTATAATTGCTAAGCTTGCAGCGTCGTAAAAATTATGAGATTAGGTACTTCATACATACATATATAAAAAAAAACAAACTAAATGACTTTCTTTATAATAATACTAGCGACTTACCCTTCCTTTACTCGGGTGCGTCTAGTAGCGTTATTTAAAACTGTTTTGTCAGTTTTTTTTTGGACGTCCATTTAAGTTATTTGTGATATCTGACAGTAGGTAAATAAATACGTTTCTACCGCAATAAAAATACCCTGCATCACTCGTAGGTAATGTTTCTTCCTATTAGTGAAAGAATTTTTGGAATCGACTCAGTAGTTTCAGAGATTAGCCCATACATACAAGCTTACTTACTTTACCTCTTTATAATATTAATGTAGATTATACACTGTATTATGTAAACTAATTAATTAACACATATTTAATATTTTAGCCAGCGGTGGGCCCCTCGGGGGCCATCAGCAAAGTCCACAAGTCGGACCGGAAGATCGGTCATCGACGAGTGGGGGAGGGCGGCGAGATCACATACAAAAAGATCCAATCATCACAAATTATGGGATCTATACAGCTAGGTAAGTTACGTTTAAAATGATTAAGTTATTACCTCGCTTTTTAGACCAGGATCGATAATTTTAGAAATAAAAGAAAATAGGATGAAACCCATTGGAAAAAGAAGAGAATATAACAAAAATGAAAGGAAAAATAATTTAGGGGCGATCTGAGATCGGGAAGTGGAAGGGGGTGAGTTTTAAGGATAAAAAACTGTTTATTTCGATTTCCGGCAAAATTATAAGTTCTATGGAAAAAAGTTAAATGGCAAAGTTATAGGTAACAAGCGAACTCACCCTCGCTTCGCTCTGGTTCGTTCCTAGGTTGATTCCCCATACAAACTTTCATCCCTATTTACCCTTAAGGGATGATTTCCGAGCTAAAAAGTATCCTATCCCCGGGTCTCAAACTATCTTCTTACCAAATTTCATTTAAATCGGTTCAGTAGATCCAGAGATTACCCCCACCGTCACAAACTCACAATTCACAAACTTTACCTCTTTATTATAATATTATAGGTAAAATGATGTATAACTTTTGTATTTACACTTTTTTCACATAATCTCAAAATTTATGTTAAAAATTCAAATAACTAAGTTTTTGGTTTTTTATTTTTATCTTTTATAAAAAAAAACCTCGAAATTTATTGATAACTTACCTTATTATGTCCCAAATACACTGTATTTTTTTTATTTAAAATATTTATTTTTTCACCTAATTTTGACTTAATATCGAAAAAGCACCCTAATTTTCAATCGAAAATTCTCTGTCAAAATATCTGCTTTTTAAAAAAGTCTGTACATTACTATGATAAATTTTCTCAGAAAATAGTTACATTGTATAGTACATATTATGACATCCAGAACGGGTTTAAAAATATATTAGAAAATTAGATATCTTATTATATAATCTATACATATAATAAAATTGTAACAAAGCCGAGTCTGTAAATTAAATATTTTATGGAAAATCTTATTGAAATAAACATTATTATCGATACAGAGGCCGAATGTATAGTTTTTAGAACTTTTGTCTGTCTGTCTGTTTGCTACCGCATCACAAAAAAACCACTGGAGGGATTTTGATGAAATTTGATATGGTGATAGCTTAACCTTTAGAATACATTTCACCGCGGGAAAATGTCTCATTTCTGAGAAAAAATACAAAAACTGCAATGTAAACTGCAATGTTTTTCGGAGAAGAGTATAAAAATTTCATTTTTTTTTGGAAAAACACCTGTTTAGATAAACTTAAAAAGCAAAACCCTATCTTAATACAAAGTTTGATCCATATCGTTAGAGCCGTTTTCGAGTGATACAAAATAAATTTATGTATATATACAAGAATTTTAATATTATAAGATATTAACTGTATTTTTATAAAATGTACGTAAATACTAAACAATGGCAAATAAACAACAAGTGAACCGTGAGAACGGTTCGCGCAATGATTAGATAATATTGCAAAACTTCGTGGAAACGCTATTTCTGTTTGTATGTTGTACAATGCGTGCGCGCAGATACGTTGACAAGATGAGTTTAATATGTAATTTAATAATATTTTATATTTTATTTTGGCACTTTCATAAGAGTTAGGCTATTTAAACTTGTTTTATTTATTACTAGCAATTTACGCTCACTTCCTTCGGGCGCTCCTTAGAAAAAAAAAATAATTAGAAAAAATTTGACCCCTAAAGATGATTTAGATTAATTGATATTTGTTAAAAAGTATTTGAATACAGAGTTTTATAATAACATCCCTCTTTTTGCGTTGGTTTAAAAAGGCCACTTTCAGTGCCTTACAGTCTTTCATGTCTACCTAGTTTCAGATTGCTAAAAATATTTTTTATTCCTGCACAATATACATAAGTGGGTTGAATTGATTGGAGATCTATGACACTCGTTTGAGCTTTGATTTTTGCCACATAAAATATGCAGTTGAAGCCTGCATAAATATGTATGTTAAAACGGTGTTATATTAGAAAATAGGCTACTTTTATTTGTAATGTAGTATTCTATATTGAATCATGGCGTTTTACCGACTCGCATTGTCAGCTCTGCCCAATATTATGGATCACATCGACGCCTACGAGGTATAAAACCGTAATAGAAAAAAGTTATCTTTACAGTTCTGGAGCAAAAAAATTTTATGTTATATCTCTTATCTTTTGTAGAAAAAATATTATATTATTATTATGTACATTATATGTACTAGTGATGTAACGAATGTTCGATTTTTCACATTCGCGAATGCGAATGCGAATATTCAGCTATAATATGAATAAAATGTAATTGTAATTAAGTTAAGCAATTTAATTAAAGAAAAATCGGTCAAGTGCGAGTCGGACTCTCACGCGAAAGGTTCCATACCATAATCGTTTTTCTATTTAATTTGCATGGCAGCCTTTTTGAAATTAGCTATGCTGGTTTTTCATTATTTGTTGTTATAACGGCTATATATTTGTTGATATGCACTATGAAAATGTCAACTCTCTACCTATTACGGTTCATCAGATACCTCTGGCAGACGAACAGCGGAGGCTTAGTAATAGGGTTCCGTTGGCACTCTTCGGGTACGGAACCTTAAAAAGACTTTTATAGCAGTTTATTCCTTTACAAAACAAATTTTAATTGCACAATTAAAAACAACGTACATAGAAATTACGTAAGTAAAAGTACACTTAATTCTTTAAGAAGTTTCTTCCAGTGAGGTCATAGTAGTAGGAGGGATGGTAGAAGGAAATATAAAAAAAAACAGTATCACATTAAACATAAACATATAACAGGCAAAAAAACGCGCGTATCGCTAGATTATTTTCTTAATGATCATCAGTTGGTATATTTACGGAACCCTCGATACGTAAATCTGACTGGCATTTTTTTTCTTTTTGAATTGAAATTATAGAATACTGTTTTTTAGCCATCACCATGATGTGTGGCGATACGTAGGCGTTTCCTGATAAAATCTAGCTGTAACACGCGATGATATTGCTCAGCTTGGTTAAAACAAAGTTACAGTAAAACGGATAACACGAAAATATTTTATGTATATTATAGTATATACTAGTGATGTAACGAATGTTCTATTTTTCACATCCGCGAATGCGAATATTCATCTCCAATATTCGCGAATGTGAATGCGAATGCGAATGTTGTCTCATCTTGATTTTATCAACCGATTTTAAAAAGGAGGAGGTTTTCAATTCGGTTGTATGTTTTTTTTGTTGTATGTTTGTTACCTCACAACTCCGTCATTTCTTAATCGATTTAGACAATTTTAATTGAAAGTGTATACTTCCAGTTTGGTCTCATTTAAATTTGAAAAAAAAACCACCCCTAAGGGTGGAAAAATAGCTAATGAAAGTTTTACCTACTTCTAATTGTTATATTGACTTGAAACTTTGCAAGTCTTTCTATTGCCGTTGATTGATGATCGATGATCGATCGATTGATGATTGATATATAGTGCAGTGATTCGGTATCGTTGACCTGATCTTGTGGTAGGGCAGAAGGTGGATAGGTGGAACTCTTCAACGGTTAATAAAGTCAAAGTATCTACTGCTTTGAGTTTGGGCTTATTTTTTTGATTTGACAAGCCCAATACGTTAGAATTGGCTTTTAGAGCTTGATTTTTAATGTTACTAAGTAAAGCGAATTTTAGTTCGTCAGTCTTTATATAAAAAACTAACTTCAACAGCCTAAGCGAATATTTTATTAAATAAAATTCATTCTTCTTACTTTGCTACTATTATTTCTATACTAAAAATGGAAAAATAAAAACTAAAAAAAACCGGACTTGAGTAAGTTGTGCTTTGATTTGTATCGGCTGGCACCGACTTCGAAAATATCTGATTAGGTATCTATAGTAAATGAAAACTACCAATCAGTTATTTTTTACATTTTAGTGTTTTTTTTTCAAGGTTTTTTTTATGTTTTTGACTGTTTTGTTGTTTTTTTAATGTTTTAGGTAATTATTATTGGTTTTAAGTTTAAGTTATTGATTATTGTGTTTTTTTTAGTTTATATTTGAGTACCTACCACCAACAGTGGAATGGAAAAATACATAATGGAATGAAGCTATGGGTTATATAAACATTTCGTATATTAGAAGTTTAATTTTGGTTCAATTAATTTAGAATGGACATTTTTAAATCTGAGGATTTTTTTTAGGTAGAAGAACAAAAGAGAAAGTATTTCTAAATTAGTCGCTTACCTCAAATTCCTACCTCTGTTCCATAAACATTTTTTTATTCAAATATTGTAAGTAAATAAAAAAATATAAATCTTATCATTTGAAAGATAATAATCATTCAATTACATATTCATCCATTCTATATAGGTACCTACATGTAATTTGCTTTTTGTTTGTCAAATATAAAACAAAATTTGCCCTGTTTCTTACGAATACGAATGCGAACGTCAAAAATATGCGAATATTCGCGAACGCGAATATTCATTACATCACTAAATTATATACTACGTACTTTTATGTACTAATGTTCATTGCCATCAGTTGTCCCTCGTATATATATAGTTGACATATACTCGTAGTAATCAGTTACAACGAAATGTATAGCATATAAGTCTCATCTTCTTAGAAAATATTATAATTATTTTATCTACATACTAGCAGAACCCGCGGCGTCCCGCGCGTTCACGCGCTAACCCGCGTTCTATCTACAAAAAAACTCTTTGGCTTTATTTTATACACTTCGTTCTGATTCGTCCCTATGTACTTGTATAATATATTATAGTTTTACAAATAATGTATGGAAGTCTGCCCGATTTGTTGACATTTATGATTACTGCTCCGCTCCCTTGGGTAGTAGCATGATGATATATAGCCTATAGCCTTCCTTAATAAACGGGCTATCTAATGCTAAAAGTATTTTTCAAATCGGATTAGTAGTTCCGGAGATTACCGTGTTCAAACAAACAAACGAACAAACAAACAAAATTCGCCGCGTTATAATATTACTATAGATATATAAGTAGGCAAAGACATAAGAGTACAGTACATTTTT